GCGGCGGAGCTGGGAACTACGTGAAGTGGAAACTCACTAGAGAACTTCCTCTAGTCTGGAGCCACCCCAGAGAAGAACTCTTCGGTCTTCTTGTCCTACAAAAAGAAAACCGCTGCGACTCATTCCGCTCGGCGACGGTGCTCATCCAAGGGAAAAATGGGATTGGGAGGGAAAAACACCCCGGAAGAGCCTGGCTTGGTGGCCCCTAGGAGAATGGTGGCGGTGAGGTGGGAGCGAGGGCCGCGAGGTCCAGCGCGGCGGTTTGGGCAGAGCTCAGGAGTTTGAATGCGTCTCCCTACGGCTCTCCGAGGTTGCTCTATCGGGAAGGGGAGGGTGGAAGAGGTGGGAATGATCCAGATTGGCACTAGAGGGATGGGTTCCACCCCTGGAGCTTCCCCATCCAAATCTCCTCTGCAGTGATGCCCGAGCTCTAGGAGAGAAACCTCCTGCTGGCTGCAGCCCAGACACCACTCAGGGGCTCTGGTCTTCGGCCACCTTGGCCGCAGCATCGCCGGTCCTTGGCCACCAATGCTCATGGCAGTGGCACCAGCTCTGATGCCAAGGGCTTGTGGTTGTCACCCAGTGCTGGTGGGACCATGGGGACTTCAACCCCAACCAACCAACCAACCATTGGTTGTCACCCAGTGTAGGTGGGACCATAGGGGCTTCAACCCAACCAACCAACCATTGGTTGTCACTCAAAGCTGGCGGGACCATGGCTTCAACCCCAACCAACCACCGGTTGTCACCCAATGCTGGTAGGAACATGGTAGCTTTGACCACAAATGACCATTGGTATCACCCAATGCTGGTGGGACCATGGTGGTCTAAACACCACGAGCTGGTTGTCACCCAGCGCTGGTGGAAACATAGTGGCTTCAACCCCCACCAACCAACCCTTGGTTGTCATCCAACACCGATGGGACTGTGGTGGCTTCAACCCCAACCAACCGACCACTGATTGTCACCCAACTCTGGTGGGACCATGGTGGCTTCAACCCCAAGGGTTGGTTGTCACTAACTCTAGTGGGAACACGGTGGCTTCAACCCCCACGAACCAACCCTTGGTTGTCACCCAACACTGATAGGACCATGATGGCTTCAACCCCAACTAACCAACCATTGGTTGTCACCCAATGCTGGTGGGACTGTGGTGGCTTCAACCCCAACCAACCAACCACTGGTTGTCACCCAACTTTGGTGGGACCATGGTGGCTTCAACCCCAAGGGTTGATCATCATCCAACACTGGTGTGACCATGGTGGCTTCAACACAACCAGGACGTTCTAGTGGGAGGTGTCCCTGCCCTTGGCAGGGGTTTGGAATGGGATGACCTTTAAAGTCCCTTCCAACCCAATCCAATCCTGGTGGACACCAAGGCTGCTGTGCCAGTATGGCCAAAGACCTTCAGCCTTTTTGGGGGACCTGTCCACCATCTTGGGGTACCTGAGATGTGCCTAGTGGCAGTTTCTTACTGACCTGCGCCCCATCTGCTTCTGTTTTCAGCAGGTCAGTGGAGGAGAGCTGGTTGCAGTAGAGGCCTGTGGGTCTCAGCGCTGGGTCGGTGACCTGCCAAAAGCAAGATCCCGCTCAGCTGGTGCTCCAGGATGCTGCACAGTCACTGGCTGCCCTCTGGAGCTGAGTCTCGGTGGGATTTTGGGGAGGGAATACCCGTGGATGTGTTTTAGTGGATCATTGGGGGGATCCCTGTGGGCAGGTGGGAGCTGGTTCATCTTCCTCTCCACCTGCACCTTTGGCTGCTGCCATCCTATATCTAAGCATTCCTGTTCCCCATTCCCTACTCTTCAGCTCCAAGGTTCCTAGCCCACCATGAGGGCTGGAGGTGCTTGGCACATCTCTACACCCTCAAGGACACAGAGGACACTCCAGGGTGCTAGTGGCCTTGGCTCCATCACAGTGGAGTCACCCAGACCTTTGTGCTTCCCCTTGGTCCTATTCCCAGAGAAGGAAATGGCCATCCTGGGAACAGGGATGGTGTGGGACTGACCTGCTCCGAGCACATGGAGTTCATCCCAGGCATCTGCAGCGAGTTCATCTGCATCTGTCCAGCCATGGGGTTCATGTTCTGGACGTTGGTGTTTCCTCCTGCCATGGACACGGTGATGCTCATGTTGTTGTACATTCCCTGCTGTGCCGGTGCCCCTTGGCTCTGTCCCGCTTGGCTGAACACACTGGGAGAGAGGGAAAGGCATCACCTGGGGGGAGGTGGTGGCAGGAGGCTCCTTGACACGGGTGAGGAGCCCCTGGGGTGGCCCAAGCTGTGGTGGCAACACCAGTGCCAAGAGGGATCACTGCAGGGATTTGGGTTGGATTAAGGTCTTGGTCTATGTGCCATTGAGTTCACAGGATCACAGAACGTTCAGGTGGGAAGGACCTTCAAGCTCATCCCATCCCACCACTGCCATGGTCAGGGACACCTTCCCCCAGCTCAGGTTGCTCCAAGCCCCATCCAACCTGGCCTGGAACACTCCCAGGGATGGAGCAGCCACAGCTGCTCTGGGCAACATGTGCCAGTGCCTCACCACCCTCAGAGAGAAGGATTCCTCCCAAGTATCCCACCTATCCCTGCCCTCTGGCAGTGGGAAGCCATTCCCCCTTGCCCTGTCACTCCATCTCAAGTCCCTCTGCAGCTCTCCTGGAGCCCCTTGAGGCACTGGAAGGGGCTCTGAGGTCTCCCTGGAGCTCAGTGTTTTCCTTTAATCCCTTGGAGTTCATCCCACAGGGATTGTCTGATGAGAAACTGCGAACCTCAGCCTGGAGCCATCCCAGCCTGCAGCACCCTCAGCTCCATAGAGTCCCAGACTGGTTTCAGTGGGAACTGACCTCAAAACTCCTCCAGTCCCACCCCTGCCATGGGCAGGGACACCTCCCACCAGCCCAGGTTGCTCTAAGCCCCATCCAACCTGGCTTGGAACACTTCCAGGGATGGAGCAGCCACAGCTTCTCTTGGCAAACCATTCCAATGCCTCATGTTTGTCCCTTCATGCTCCTTCCAGGGTCTCTCCCACCATTCTCATGTCTGCTCCAGGCAGGACAGCTCTCCATGACATGGGATGGTGATGCATCCCATCTCCAAGAGCTCCCATCTCATCTCTCCCACCCCACCATCCTGCTCCCTGCTGCTGGACCAGCACAGGTGAGCTGAGCTCCACCCAAGACACCAAGCAAGGCATGCCCAGAGGAGCTGGTTTTGGCACTTTCCCCCGTTTCTGGAGAGCTGAAGCTCCAACTTGACTCATGCAATAAGAACCCAACAAATCTCGTGACTCTTCCCATTAATTTCCATAAACTGGAGCTGGGCATGTCTCAAGGAGGCCATGCAGTGACCTGGCAATGTTGGGCTGGCCTCTGTAGTCCTAAGGTCACTTGTAGGAGCCATAATTAAGCCACTTGATTAATTAAGAGCTAAAGACCTCCTTCAGGGCTTCCTCAACACACATGGTCACTCCTTTAGAGGCTGTGCACTTCTGGCCACCTTGGAGCTGAGGCAAGGACAAGGACATGGATGGATGGTGATATCTAGAGCACATCACAGCAGAAGAACACAACCTGAGCTCAACCAGGTGTCACCTACAGGCACCACCACCCTTGACAACACCTTGGTGTCACCTCCTCTATGTCACCTCTGTGCTCCATGTGACCCCCACCATGATCTTACTTGTTATTCCCCATGGCTCCTTGTTGCCAGGTCTTCATGTCCGGAGACTGGTATCCGGGTGCCGGCGGTGCCGGCTGCAGCATGGGACTCTGGGAAGGAGGGAGCTGGGGGGACATCAAGGGGCTGCTGGGGCTGAGCGAGGGGGCAAAGGCAGGTTCGCTCTGCTGACCCATCCCTATGGGAGGACACATGGGGTCAGTGGTGCCAGGACCTCCTCCCACAGCCCAAATTCCCAACTCACACAGCACAATTCCCTCCTCTTCCCTTGCAACCAAAGCAGGGGCATCAGACGCGGCTTTTGGTCTGGAGTCTCGTTTTTTCACTTGGTTTGGGTTGGAAGGACCTTAAAGCTGATCCAGTCCCATCCCCTGCCATGGGCAGGGACACCTCCCACCAGCCCAGGTTGCTCCAAGCCCCATGCAACCTTGCCTGGACCACTCCCAGGGAGGGGCCATCCACCACCTCTCTGGTCAACCTGTGCCAGTGCCTCCCCCCTTCACAGGGAAGAGAAGGGACTGCTTTGCCTTCCTTTTCCGGGGAAAAAGCGTGGAATTATTTTCCCCAATAGCCTTTTTTGAGGGGGAAGATTCCACCAGCAAAGCTCCCCTTGGGAAGTGGAAACTCAAGACCCAAGGGATCCCCTTGGGATGTGAAGATCCAAGACCAAAGTTTCCCCTGGGAAGTGGTGTGCCAAGGCCAAAGCTCCTCTTGGGATGTGAAGACCCAAGGCCAAAGTTCATGTGAAGAGCCAAGACCAAAGTTACCCTCGGGAAGTTGTGTGCCAAGGCCAAAGTTCCCCTTAAGGATATGAAGACTCAAGTTCAAAGTTCCCCTTGGGAAGTGGAGACCCAAGCCCAGCCCAGCACGTTGGCTGGGAATACCGCTGGGATTCCGCTCAATCAGCGCTCTGCTCCGCTCTTTGCTCTCTCCCCCTCTCCCTCCCCACTCCCGCAGCATCCCGGCGCTCCGCACACACCTGATCCCGAATACTGAAAGATGTTCTGCTGCATCTGCGGGGCGATGCCGGCTCCGAACTGCGCTCCGACGCCTCCCATC